CAGAACTGCACAAGCAATCACAGAGTTAGCATTTCCCATCTTTCTCCCAGGCCTCAACTTTGCAACCAACATAACGTTCTTTTAACCACAGGGGCTTTTTTGCGTGTGTCTGTAATTATTTATTCATTCCTCTGAATCATATAATGATGCTCCTGGAAACGCTGTCTGCCTGATGCCCTTCCACTGAGATCATGAAGGAACCACAGGGCTGACCTGAACCGCGATTGTCTAAGAACTGATATTAGCGTCTGAGGCCGGCTATTTTCGTATTAAAGATAATTATACCACTGCGTGGCATTTGCCCCTTTTCTCAGCGCTTGATCTGATCTCCTCCCTCTTGACCGGGGTTGCAAAGGGTGTAGAGGCTGGTGTAAACCTGCCTGGATGTCAGTAGAGTGATGCCAGTTTACGCTGGTGAGGATCTGGCCCCATCCGACGCTTTTTGCCACGCAGGGAGCAGCCCTGCTGTGAAATGAGCACAGAACATCAACTTTTCACCCCTAACAAACCCAGCAGGCCAGGCTGGATTCGAACCAGCGCCCTGGAGGGCCAGCCCCTGAAACACAACAGCTGCAAGGGGGCCCAAGTTCGAGCCATCCAGCCTCCTTTCCTTCCCCTGTCGCATCCAGCCACCTCCCTGCCCGGGGAGTCAAGGGGCGTGCCCGTGGGGGTGACGCGGACGCACGCAGTCCTAGTGAATTATCTTCCCCATTTCAACAGTTCCTTTCGGGCACGGCTTAATTAACCCATATGTCATCCACCGCAGGCTGCTTCCAATTAGGTTAGCGGAGGCAGCGAGACGTTGGCTGGCTTCTGAAGCCGGTGCGGGCAGCCGGGGAGGAAGGGCGAAGACCCGTGCCATTTCTTTCGGGATGGGTTTATATTCCCGTTACCCGGGCAGGCCTGCCACCACGTGGCCCGGTCCTTGGTGCAACCGCCGGGCCAAATGCCAACGCGGCGGAGCCCCCTGGAGCTCTCTGGTTGTCCGGACGCCCGCGCTCTGCCACGTGCCACCTGGCGCATCGATGCCGGATAGGGTGGCCAATTTGGTAATATTTAAAAACTGGACACTCCAGCATGAGTGCCGGAACCTCCCCTTCCCCCCAAGGCCCCACCTCTTCCCCTGAGTCCCCAGCCATCCGCTCCTTACGCCCCCCCTCACTAGTTGCTTTTTCCCTCCCATCCCGCCGCCCTTCAGTCACGAGGGACTTGCTTGTGGAGCTGGGGCTGGGAGCTGCCTAATGAAGGTAGGAGGCGGCCACAGCTGAGTAGGGGCTAGCGCAGGTGATGACCTGGTGCCTCCCCCGCTGACAGTAACTGGACTTTGGGTGTCCAGTCAGTAGATCTGACCGGACACAATCAGGTCCCCTTTATGACCGGACTTTCCGGTTGAAAACTGTGCATCTGGCCACCCTAATGCCAGCAGTCGTAGTGGACCATAAGCTAAATATGCATCAACAGGGTGACACTGTTGCAAAAAAAGCGAATATCATTCTGGGCTGTATTAGCAGGAGTATTGTGAGCAAGACCCGAGAGGTCATTCTTCCGCTCTACTCCGCACTGATTAGGCCTCAGCTGGAGGATTGTGTCCAGTTCTGGGCGCCGCATTTCAGGGAGGATGTGGACAAATTGGAGAAAGTCCAGAGAAGAACAACAAAAATGATTAACGGTCTAGAAAACATGAGCTATGGGGGAAAGTAAAAAAATTGGGTTTGTTTAATCTGGAGAAGAGAAGACTGAGAGGGGACGTGATAACAGTTTTCAACTACGTAAAAGGTTGTTACAAGGAGGAGGGAGAAAAATTGTTCTCCTTAACCTCTGAGGATGGGACAAGAAGCAATGGGCTTAAACTGCAGCAAGGGAGGTTTAGGTTGGACATTAGGAAAAACTTCCTAACTGTCAGGGTGGTTAAGCACTGGAATAAGTTGCCTAAGGATGTTGTGGAATCTCCATTGTTGGAGATTTTTAAGAGCAGGTTAGATAAACACCTGTCAGGGCTGGTCGTGGTAACACTTAGTCCTGCCAGGAGTGCAGGGGACTGGACTAGATACTTCTCAAGGTCCCTTCCAGTCCTATGATTCTAAGTACCACCCTGTGGAAGGCTGGACTGACAACTCCCCTTGTGGTTGTGCCCGGCCCTGTTTAAGCAGAGAACCCTGTGGGTGGAGTCACAGCCCCTCTTAGCAATCCTGGAAGCTAGGTGTTGTGTTCCCAGCAGATACCCAGAGAAGTTCGATAAAAACACACAACACTTTTGTGGGACGGTTGCAACTTAACACGACTTTATTTCTCACAATCCAGACCCTTAACACGCAAGAACCCCAAAACAGAGCGAGACAAAGCAGGCTGCTCACTAAGGCAGAGGGGCCTAATTCACTCCACCTTGCTGTAAGTGGCTCACGGCAGATTGAATCTGATCACACACTTCCCTACAAAGCTCTCTAGCTTGCCAGCAGGATCCAGAAAACCCCTTCACTCCTGTAATGACAGCCTGCAATTCCAACACAGTCCTCGATACACCACACTAGACACACACAGCTCTTCCTTCCCTAGTACGTCAACCTACGTGGCTGTTCTCGGAGCTACCTACCCACCTTAGGTTTTTCTGAGTCTACTACTGTAATATCTAAGTGCCTCACAAGCTTTTAAAGTATTTATCCCCAGAACGCCCCCTGGGAGGTCAGGCAGGGGCCCAATTCAGGCAATAATCCCCATTTCAGAGGCCCGGCTCCTCAAAGGTATTTCAAAGGAATCAGCCCCATGGGGAGGAGAGGCCCAGCTCTCTTTTGAGGGATCCTGGTCGAAGTGTAAGGATTGGTGGGACTTGAATGCAGGACAGCCAACCCCACCCTGCTCCCCGCCCTCCTCAGAGGCGGCACACCACAGGAAGTTCCACCTCGAGTGATCTGACGGACACTTGTATTGGCAATACACGATTGGCTCCTGGATCCTATATAAGGGGCCTACCAGGAAGCATTCAGGTAGCAATGGGGGGGGGTCTTCAGCTAGCTGCTGTGATCACCCTGCTTCTGAGCTCCTGGCATTGACGTCAGCTCTGACTAGGAGCCTGATTCCCAATTGATTCCCGGGCCCCCCCCAACACTGACCTGGTACCTGGTATCACACCCCCAGCGTCGGTTCCCGGATCCCCAAGCTCCTGCCACTAGTCCTGCCTGCCTTCACCCGGGATCCTGACAGGGAGGGCAACAGAGCAGGGATTCGAACCCGAGGTGCCCGGCTGGTGCCCTCACCACTAGGCCGTCCTTCCCCCAGCTCCTTCTGGCTCCGGACTGATCAGGACATCCCAGGTCTGGCTGCAGAGAACGGCCCTCGCTTCTCCCAAGCATGCAGCCTCGGCTCCCCTCTCTCCGCCCAGGTGAGCCCCAGGCCGGAGCAACTCACAGGGCTGGCATCATAGGCGGGCGCTCTCCGCACACCTCCAACCACTTCCAGGGCCGCTCGACTCGCAAGGCGGGGGGACCGCTCGGCCAGCACAGAGGGCAGGCGGGAGCAGAGCGGAGTCCTGCGCACATGGGGTGACCCAGAGGGCTGGGCTTCAGGATGCCTGGGTTCCAGTCCTGGCGCTGCCGGGTGACTTGGGGCAAGTCATTGCCCTGCTCTGTGCCTCGGTTTCTCCTCCTGTCCCCTGTCTCCGTAGACTGTGAGCTCTCTGGCCCGGGGCCTGTGCTGCATCCGGCCTGTCGGGGGGCCACTCCCTGAGCCAGGCAGGGCCCTCTAAGTGCTGCTAGCTAATAATAATAATCCACCAAAAGGAGCAGGAACCACTCAGTATGGTCCCATGCAATAGGCCCAACACACCCATTTTAAGGGATTCACCCATTCACCACACTAGACTCAGAACATCCTGGCCCCTGCCCCTGTCCTTGTTTAACTGGTCCCTGCTTTGATCTCTTGGCCATGCTCAGAATGGAAAGGAGTGGGTGGGTGGGTGGGGGAAGGAGAGCTGGGGGGGTCAGGAGCATTATCCCTATTTGACAGATGGGGAAACTGAGGCACCGAGAGGGGTGGCTGGTCCAAGGTCACCCAGCAGGCAGCTGGGACTAAAAGTCCTAGCCCACGAGGCCACGCCGCCTCCCCCCGCCAGCTCTCCCAGGGTGGGAGCAGGAATGCGAAGACTTGCGTTAAACTGTCCCTCGCTCATGGCTCTCTGGAGATGCCCCGAGGCCGTGACTGAGTGGACACATTGGTGGGGGCTGATTAGTGAGCGCTGATTCGCCCGTGGGCGGACTGGTTAGCCACGCTGATTGGTGAGCACCGCGTGCCGTCCTGCACACCAGCGCAAACTGGGCGTGTGACACGACTGGATCCGAATGGGAGCACGTCACACCCACGTTGGGCTGGTGTACGTGAGCGCACGGGGCCCCCATGCGATGCACATGCCGGGGGTCTTCATTCGCAGCTCAGTCACACTAGATTTGCACCGATATGTCGGCAGTGGAGCGACTCCTGATCTACACCAGCAGAGAAACAGTGACCCCACCCCTCAGAATCCCCCCGTCTCTCTTCCTCTTCTCCTGGGAGCACACCCCTTACTCAGCCCTCAGCTGCCGAAAGGCACCGGGACCCGATCCCCAGCTGGTGAAAACGGGGGCGGCTCCCATGGAAGGCATTGCTGATTTACATCAGCTGAAGGCCGGACCCACACCCTCACGGTAAGAGCCTTTCCTGACACCCTGCATCTGGAAACCAGGCAAAGACTATCCAAGCAGTGACCTTATGTCGCCGTGAATAGGAGATGTCTTAAAATTATCCATCCATCCCCACGCACACCCATCTACCTATCTTATCCCCATTCTCTATCCATCCCTACACACACCCCTCTATCCATCCATCCATCCCCACGCACACGCATCTACCTATCTTATCCCCATTCTCTATCCATCCCTACACACACCCATCTATCCATCCATCCATCCTCACACGCACCCCTCTATCCGTCCATCCATCCCCACGCACACCCATCTACCTATCTTATCCCCATACACATTCCTCTATCCATCCACCCATCCATCCCTATACACACCCCTCCATCCATCCACCCATCCATCCTCACACACCCCTCTATCCATCCATCCATCCCCACGCACACCCATCTACCTATCTTATCCCCATTCACATTCCTCTATCCATCCACCCATCCATCCCTATACACACCCCTCCATCCATCCACCCATCCATCCTCACACACCCCTCTATCCATCCATCCATCCCCATGCACACCCATCTACCTATCTTATCCCCATTCTCTATCCATCCCTACACACACCCCTCTATCCATCCATCCATCCTCACACGCACCCCTCTATCCATCCATCCATCCCCACGCACACCCATCTATCCATCTTATCCCCATTCCTCTATCCATCCCTACACACACTCCTCTATCCATCCATCTATCCATCCATCCATCCTCACACGCACCCCTCTATCCATCCATCCATCCCCACGCACACCCATCTATCCATCTTATCCCCATTCCTCTATCCATCCCTACACACACTCCTCTATCCATCCATCTATCCATCCATCCATCCTCACACGCACCCCTCTATCCATCCATC